TTTTCTGTGTCCATCTCCACTGCCTTTTAAATGCCAGCCTGAGGATAAGCCTTGCTCCTTACATACAGGAAAATCAAAATGATCTTATGATCTCTGCCGTGCTCATGTAAAAGAGATCCTGTGTACGTTCAAAGAAGGGCTATGAAAAACATTAGCAACTGCAGTCACTTACAGTGAAAAGCATCTCCAGATCTGTTGTGACTACCCTTTTCTCCGAAAACCGTCACAGCCTGAGTGGAAACAGCTCTTTGTGCTGTGCCGGTAGCAGGATGCAAGCGACGTCTCTGATGTGCTGCTCCCACCAGCCCAGTCTGTAGCATCATTAACTTCCTTAACTCTAGCCCAAATTACACCAAAGCGCAGCCAATCATTTGCTTTTCACTGCAAGTCTCAAAGCACTTTGGTAGCTCTCCCCACACACCTGCCACATCTCTGATCTACAAATTTTCCCTCTGCTCTTCCTCCACCTCCCCAGAAATACCATAAACCCTTCACTGATAGACCACATATTTTCTTCCATCTATAAAAACATATTATCCCCTCACAAAATATTCCCTATGTTTCTGGGCAGGTACATGACAAAAATCTGACAACGATTTTAGAAGACAAACTACTAGTATTAACGAAAGGGCAATAATGTCTTTCAGAATCAAGAATAAATTAAACATGAACTTTTGCTTACCTGTTGGAACACAAATTATGATTTGGAGAGAAATTCTGATCAAAAACTAATGGTTACTTAAGAAGAACAAGTAGTCAAAAACCAATCAGAATAGAAGATGAGGGAAAAATCTTCTGTGTTTTCCATTCCAGCAGAACAGCTTAGTCTCTCTCACATCTTCCACAGCAAACATCTATCTTCCTAGCCCTTTCGATTCCTACTCTATATCCCAACCTTGCCAGCAGAGTACTTCATCTCAGGCATGCAGTGCTATATACAGCAATGATGTTAGATATGTTATATATAAATGTGACAGGGTGAATAGCTCAACTAACCATGTGCTTGCTTCGGCAGCACATATACAAAAATTGAAATGATACAGAGAGGATTAGCATGGTTCCTGTGCAAGGATGACACACAAATTAGTGAAACATTCTGTATTTTTTACAACAGGCACCAGTACAGATTAGGGATTGACCTGCTGGAAAGCAGCTCCGCAGAGAGCAATTTGTGAGTCCCGGTCGATGACAAGTTAACCATGAGGCAGCAGTGTGCCCTTGTGGCCAAGAGGGCCAGTGGGATCCTGGCCCACATCAGGAGGAGCGTTGCCAGCAGGTCGAGGGAGGGGATCCTGCCCCTCTGCTCAGCTCTGGTGAGGCCGCACCTGGAGTATTGGGTGCCGGTCTGGGCTCCCCAGAACAAGGAGGACATTGAGCTTCTAGAGAGGGTCCAGTGTAGAGCCACGAAGATTAAGTGACTGGAGCATTTATGGAGTGAGGAAAGACTAAGCAAGCTGGGCCTGTTTAGTCTGGAGGAGAGAAAATTGAGAAGTGATCTGATCACCATATACAAATACCTGATGGGAGAACGTAGGGAGGATGGGGCCCAACTCTTCTTAGTGGTGGCCAGTGATAGGACAAGGGGTAATGGGTACAAGTTGAAACACAGGAAGTTCCATCTCCATGTGAGGAAGAACAACTTCCCTGTGAAGGTGACAGAGCCCTAGAACAGGCTGCCCAGGGAGGTTGTGGAGTCTCCTCCCCTGGAGATCTTCCAAACCCACCTGGATGCCACCCTGTGCCACGTGCTCTAGGTGTCCCTGCTGGAGCAGGGGGGTTGGACTTTGTGATCTCTAGAGATCAATCTAGAGATCAACCTTCCAACCTCAATCATTCTATGAACCAACTCACTCCTGGAAGTGTGTGGGGTGGAGGAGGGAAGGAAAGAGAAAGTGAACCTTAAAACACGTTTAATATCAAAAACAAAAAAAGGGCTTCAAAATGTGTATGTGTTTCAATAATGAAACAAAAGAAAAACTAGAAAATAAAAGACGTCTGACAAAATATTACAAACATTACACATAAAGTCCTTTGCTATTTTCAACCATAGGACACTGATAAAGTGAACTGCAATTATTCTAACACACCTAAGGCTCGGTTATTTACCCCTTCAAATACCTGTGCAAAGGCTGAAGCCATCTTATCAAACAGGTGATTCTCTGCACTTTCCCTTAGTTGTAGCTACACTGAAGTTTCCACCATCCCCACATTGGCAAGTGCGAGTGATGTCCCTAGGACGCACTCTTACCACCACTCTGCTTTATTCAGACAGATCCTGCATGAGACTTTATTTATGCAGAGATTTGATTTTCTAGTGTTTTGTTGTTGCTTTTCTCCCTTTCATCAGCTTCCATCTTTGATCTCCTGCATCCCTTGCAACGTCCCAGCAGGTTAAAGTTGCCAAAGACTTTGCAGTAAAAATTTCTAAATGCAAAACAGTTAAGATCCTACTTCCTGTCCCTTTCTAAGTATTGATCTGTTATTATAAAAGACCATGAAAAGGCCCTTTCAAAACAGTTCATTAACTATTAAACAGAAAAGATTATTTGTATGAAAGGCAGAAAAATCACCACATTTTCCTTCTTATTCTTATAATCCACACATTATATGAAATGTAACACTTCATTGCATAAGGGGAAAAAATCATGGTTTAATTACAACAATGTAGCATAAACACTTTAGTAGTCCGTATCAGGATATTATTGTGACATCTAAACTAAACGAGTTCTCCACAGTCACTGTAAACAGATACCCTAGTATTCCCTAAATGATTGGCATTAAGAAGATTTATACAAAGGCGATCAGTTGTTTAATCTTTAAGATGTCATGACATGGTGAGACAAACAAGCATACATCGGTAAGTACAGAGAAATGTTATGCTACATTTTGGACAGTTTAGAACTGAAAGTGCTTCACATCTACAGGATAAGAAATGGCTTCATCTCCTCACCCCTAAACGATGAGAGCAAAGAAATAACCCTTTAATAGGTTAAATAAACAGTGCCCCATTTATCCATGCTTATATAAAGTTCCCAACAATTCAGAAGGTCACATGGTGCAATTTACAATCTATATACAGTATAACAAATTTTAAAAGAAAAAAGTTCAGATATTCCTTGGTTCCCAAAAGCCTGAATCTCGCACTCTGCTCTAGAGCTAAGGACAAAAGCTACACACAGTACTAATTTTTTTTTTTTTTCCTTTTTTATGGTAAAATAGCTTCATCATTCCAATTCACCTTGACCAAAATCAGTCCCTAAGTCCTGGTTGTATTTAACAACTGCTGAATCCCAATGTTTAAGGCATGTTCACTAGACATCAGTATAAGGGTACTGTCAGAAGTAAGATCACAGGTATGTAGTGTCAGCAAATTTTACACAGCAATGCTAGTCTTTACAATATAATGTAAAATAAAATCATGTAATGATGGAAGTTAAAATTTTCCTGAGTTAAAATTTGCTAAATACGGCTAAACTTAATATTTGTACTTCTTCCTCTGGAATGTCCTTTCGTATATGTTCAACGGAAAATTAAAATTAACACTGAAATATAGAAAGCAAAAACATGTTAGCATATGCAATGAATATGCAATGAATTTGCAGTGTTTAGTATCACTTAGCTTTTAGCAAGTGTGTTTTCTAAATATGAAGATAATTATATTTGTCAGTTCACATTTTTCTGCAGCTGCAAACAACAGAAACACTTTTTTTTAATCAGTTGTCATTAACTTAAAGGTTTTGAATATATGGAACTGAGCTATAGAAGACATTTTCATTTTTTTCTTACAAACTGCTCTTCTAAAATTAAAGATAAACATTTTATATTGTAGGAACACAAATTTAAAATACCTACAGATGTATTTAGTTTTTTGAAATCAGATAATTGTCCCTTCATATTATTAAGCATTTGTTCCCACAGAATTACTTTTCAAATATGTAATCTTTGATTTAAACATACATTTTTCATCAGATGTAGACTGAAACGGTTATCATCTTACAACTCTGCCAATTTTACAAACATTTGCTCAAGTCCAAGCATTAAATTTAACACCAGTTAAAGGACATTAGAAAATCAGGACTACCGAAGGTACGACTTGATCTCAGCTATATTTGCACTTTTGGATGTTAACTGGAGAAAATGGACCCAGAGAACAGGACTGTTGGGGCCTGACACAGAGTCTGCTGAAATCAATGACACCTTTACAATAAGCTTTAAGGAACTTGGTATGGTAAGTGCTCCAAATGAGGTTCAACATTTGCAGTTAACGTGGCATCTCCTATTTTAAATACAGGAAAGAATTGCAGTAATTACACCTACCAGACTAAGGAATAAAGGTTTTCATTGGTATTCATTGTATGTATTGTCATATCTGTCAAAGGTTATGAAATTTCAATATGATGAACAAAACTTTAATTCCACATTTGTTTCTGTTTAAATTCTAGTGGGATGGAAACCAGTAATATACTGAGAAAACAAGAAGGGAAAGGAATGACTGACTGTTTCCACAGTCTGGAAAGTCTAAACAAAAATAGTGGTATAGAGAGAGAGCTCTGAATGGAGTTTGGCCTAGCCCATGTGCCTTACCTTACACACAAAGGTTAGCTAGAATTTAATGGTTGTGACCATAAAAAATAAATAGTAACAATTTATTCACAAAAAAAAAAAAAAGATTCGATTGATCTTTTTGCTTTAACAAACTTATGATCCATTAAATTATCAGCCAGCTGTATCTTTAAGCCCAACAATAGAAAATGTAGTACATAAACACCTAAAAATCACAGTCATTAAAAAGCAGGCAATACATCTTTCAGTGACCAAAGTCTTTTGGTGGCCAAAGCACAGCAAATTAGTCCACCAAGTAAGTGTAAATAGATGTAATAGATGTTAATCACGGGCATTTGTTTTGTTAAAATTATAGCTAGTGTTGACAAACATCATCTGCAATTTGATTTAATACTGTTTTTAAAGAACTGTAAACTGTTTTAAAATGTATGCACAAGCATAAATAAGCAAATTTAAATACAGTGGTCAACAGGAAAAACATCTTAAATTTGCTTGCGTGACAAATGGGTAATTTGGAACAAATTCATAATTATCGACAAAGAACTCTGACCTTCCAAAGAACTCTGAGAGACTACTGCCATCATTTCTAATACTTGCAACCATTATAATAACAGGAGGGGGGAAAAAAAAGTATTGCCCTGATACATCAATCACATACGCATTCAAAATTACAGATATTTACAAGAAAAAAATATATATTTAATTAAAAAGCCACTGAAAAACATGGACTTTTTTAGTCAGGTGCTGCACTTTCTGCAAAATGAGGTAATTTAGATGCAAACAAATTAAGTTTAGTAGAGTTCAGGATCCATGGTCTCCACACTTAAGTACAGATTGCTTCAGTGAATGGCTTGACTGTTTCTATATGTTCAGAGCAAGAAAAAAAACAAAACAAAACAAAAAACACTAGATCCAGTTAAATCCTGTTTTGTAGTGCTCTTGATGCAACACTGACTAATGTCAGAAGGCTTCCCCGCTCAGTTTTCTCAGTTTTGTAACTGGTCTTTCAATAGAAAGAAAAAAAAATAGTTATAAGTTGGTTTCATCCCAAGATGGGTCATTCATGTTCTTTAGAACTTTTCTAACAAGCTTCTCCAAGTCCTTGCGAGCTCTTTGTTCTTCTTCCAGTGATTTTTTCATCTTTTTGTTATCCTGTTTAACAGAGACAGGAATATTAGTATTTTTTTTTTTTTTACAACAACTAACAGATCTCTTTCAACCCAACATACACCAATCACCACAAATCCGGGAGGCTCTTCTCAGTAAGACTGTTACCAGCTGTTCAAAAGCAAAGCAGCTCTTCTACCTTCTACTAAAATACCACAAGTCACACACAATACTTGACCCAATGAAACAAAACTACCAAATGGAAACACAAGTATTTCCTGAGGTGCGCTTTACAATGCAAGTGCAAGTAGCAGATGATCAATAATTTTCAATTCTTCTACTCAAAGCTGATCAATGAACAGTATATTTGGTGTTAACACGAAGAAAACAGAACACTAATAGTAGTAAATACAGCCCTGTAACAGCCTCCTGTTATTATAACTATTTTCACAATCTCAGAAAAGCATCTTAAACATAATGTGAATTAACTTGCTTAATTAGGAAAGTAAATAACTCCAAGGAACATCTTGACATTTTCATTTATGTTCTCTGAAATACTTTGTGACCAAGTCTTAAGCCAGCCAAACAACCACCAACAGCAGAGAAGAGTCTGAATTTAAAGAAACGCCATCCCTATACACACGTATTAATGAATGTGTCAGGTCTCAATATTCTGCACTGCGCACCAAAATGACATTATTAGTGTTGCATCAATACTACTGACTGAAACACAGCAACTCTTACATTGTTTATTCCATTAGAGACCATGGTGATGCTGGAACAAGTGGGAGAGCAACATAATTGTTGTCTCAACTTCTCATTAAGACTCCATGATCAAGGGTTTCCTGGTGTTGAAAACACAGGTCTATAATCCAGGGATCCCAGCTGAACTCCTAATCAGCTTTCGTTTCCATAAATTTCTAGAAACTGAAAGGGATCCACGCCAGCCTCCTTCATTATCTCCCCAAGTCTGTTGGAAAACTGATAAATTAAAATATCTTCTTGTAGATCTGCAGTCCTTTACTTTTCCTTCTGTTCCCTCCTTTGCCCCTTTCAGAATCATACTATTACACTGTAATGTCTGTGGAAGAATAACTGATAAATAACTGATGGAAGCTGCTAAGCGACCTGCTTTTTGAAGTTAACGGTCACAAACTGGTGGTCTGGGATTGACACCCGCTATCACGTACTCCTGGATGGACTTTCATCCATGAAGCTTTGGGTCGTGTGGGACATTCCCATCTTGGAGATTCCCTCTGCCATTTCAAGAAGTGGCAGCAAAGGACCAGTAAATGCTTCTAAGCTAAGATGTTCTGCATCTACAGCGATGACCAAGGGACTGGAGCCTCTCTCATATATTAGAAGAGGGCTCAGAGATCTGTGCCCGTTTAGCCTAGAGAAAACTGAGAAGGGATCTTATCCATGCGTATAAATATCTTACGGAGGATGTCAAGAGGACGGGGCCAGGCTATTTTCAGTGGTGGCCAGCAACAGGAAAAGAGACAACGACCACAAATTGAAGCACAAGAAGTTCTGTCTGAATTTGAGAAAAAATTCCTTACTATGAGGGTAACAGAGCCCTGGAACAGGCTGCCCAGAGAGGTTGTGGAGTCTCCTTCTCTGGAGATCTTCCAAACCCGCCTGGATGCCACCCTGTGCCATGTGCTCTAGGTGTCCCTGCTGGAGCAAGGGGGTTGGACTAGGTGATCTCTAGAGGTCCCTTCCAACCTTAACCATTCTGTGATTCTGTGATCCCAAATACACAAGAAAATGAAATGTCCCACATTAAATGAACTGTATTTTTAAAGATGACATCAAGTTTCACATCAAAGCTGGGATACACAGGCTTTATGAGCTGAAACTACCCAAAAAACAAACAAACAAACAAAAAAAAAATCAAATGAGGTTTAAACACGGTATGTCCTAACAAGAAGAGGTATTTTTAAACACCTCAAGAATGTATACTTAAAACACGCTTAACACACCAGTTGCCTCTTCCATACAAGCTAGGCAGGTGAGAGCTTATGCAATTCCCTCAAGCCACACATTAGCCACCGAAGCTAAGTTATAGTTCTCATTTTAAAAAAAAGCCACATGATGAGCAGTGAAAACGACTTGTTGCAAGAGTTGCAAGAGATGCTCAGATTACTGAAGGAGTGTTAAAAATAATAATAAAAAAGTCTAAACAGATTTACCTCTACCAAAATTATATACCCTAAGATCAAATAGTATTCCGCAATCTCTACACATTTATTTTGCTGCCAATATAGCAACATTCAACAGTTCACAAGTTGTAACATTCAAAAATAAATGAAATGCAGCTTAGTAAATCACCTCGGGATATTTAACACACTTCTCACAGGTCTAAGGACACATGGCAACAAGAGAACAGAGCACCTTTTGTCAAACTGGCAAGTCTTACTTTTAAAGCAAATCTCAGGGCTTGAGTTTAGCTCAAGATGTAAATTCATCCCTGCCAAACCATATCATTTAAAAATATGTATTTGTTTTTATACTGAGCTTTCCATCCTTCCATTCTCTGATATAAATATAGCAAGTTACCAACCTGTCTTAATTCCTGTACTTCATCCTTTAATGCATATACTGTGTCAACAAGACTTCTAAGATAAGAAGAAAAGAATATCTGTTATAAGAGTTTTCAGAAAACATACTTAAATCTATTATTAAATTGATATAGGAAAAGCATTAGAAACAAAAAGTAGCTAACAGGTGTTTTCACAAACTTGTGTTAATCATCTCTTATCCCGACTTACGTCGTTACACAAGGACCTTTCACTAGCTTCTATGACAGGACAGAACTCGCAAACAAAAGCAGACTTGAAACACTTGAAACAGAATTCTGCTACAGAAACGTAATATGGAAACCAGTACAAGTCCCTTCTGTGCACTGTTTTTGCAACAGAATTGTTTTTCACTTTCAATGTACCTCTTACTAAAAAAGAAAAAAAGCACCCAAAAAACAAAAAACAAATAAAAAATATCCCCAAACTTGATAGCCCACACAAAAGGGAAAGATGATACCAATTTGTTACCAAAATTCTACAGCACTCAGAAAAGCCATTTACAAAGGAGACACATCAATTCTTACTGCGGAAGAAAGAAATGCAGTGGTACATACAGGAGAGCCAGACTGCAGGTATCTAAATGAAGGCCCAGCGCGCGTGCAAGGCCGGGCAGCAAACTCCAAACTCCTCCACTAGTGACATAACCTCCCCACACCCTTAGTGCAACTACTACAGCAAGAGGTGGAAGAAGAAAAAGGAGTGCAAAGTCTGTTTTAATCTATCAGTCATTAAAAAATTCTTACTTCTCTTCTATAACAGTCTGACCATTACTTTTAGTTTCTTCTACAATAATTTTCTCTTCTTCTGGAAGCAGGACTTGCGGAGCTGATTCTTTACGGGAACCTGTTTTAAAAATAAATTACAAAATGAGCAACTTGCAAGTGATGTGGGAACATTTTAAAGATTATCATTTCATATATTGTATGATACACCTACATGGCCACAGTATTTCCATTTTGTTCTCCCCTCCACACACACAGTTACCAACATATTTTTTTTTTTAATATTTGAATCCACAACCCTACAACTAAAACAAAAAAATTGTCTGACTCATTCCTATCCTTTTGGTGACAGAAGCCCTCTGTGTTATCGCTAGGGATGTTACAGCTAGTTCAAGGAACAGTACACTATAGCATGCAGTACATCTACACAAATTTATCATAGCTGCAACAGAGAATGAATGATGTGTTTAACTAACAGCAATTTAAGTCTCAAGGGCAGATTTTGATCTCACATTGATACACAACAAAGAAATAATTCCATTCTAAAGCAAATTACTCTATCAGTGAGGAGCAGAAAAGAGATATCAAATGATGCAAGGATGGAAGGAGGAAAAAAATCATTTTCCCAGAAAGAAAAGCATAAACACCACAATTGTGCATGTATGTGCATAGACATATATACACATAAACACAGTCCTTTAGGCCCATAATAAACTGCTACCAAATGAAACAGAGTTCATATTCAATACATAACTTTAAAACAGCTAAAATGGTTTGATGACAAAACTCAAAACATTGTGTAATATCTTCAGAACATCTTTTTTCTCAAATCTTACATTTTTAACATCAAAATAATCCATAGTTTCTAAAAACATGTTTCTAATCAGAAAAAACTATGCACAGAGATATGTCCATCCAAAATGTATATATTCTAGAAAGATTATTTAATTAAGCTGCAACAAATTACTAGCATTTTTTCAATAATAAATATTTTTGTATACATCTGTAAATAAACAAACATCTAGGAATTTGTTCAGGATTCAGAGCAGATAAATATGAAAGAACTTTAATGCCTTAACTAACATATCTAAACCAATATTAACAATCAATATGCACTTGCTTACCAATTCACTGTAACCAATTTTGACTAACAAGGATTAGCTTAATTTCAAGGACAGTTTGAACTGGTAATTTTGTACTACAGAGTGAGTGCCCATTAGGAAATATTACTTAGTTCTTGCTAACATCTGCTTTGCAGTAACAGCGGTTTTATTGTTCATAAACACACACAAAATTAAGGCAATCGAGCTCAATGAAAATATCAACTCACACTAAAAACTGCAGTGTTGAGTTCTGGACATGAGCTTGTAGAAGAACAAAAGAATATAGCTCAGCAGTAGGTGTTAAGGTAGTCACATTATTTTAGTAAACAAGGTCAAATATCTTTTAATGGAAGAAAGTTTTTAAGCTGTTTTTTTTAAGTAGTCAGATTTGATGGGGTAACAACACCTGAGAACAGAGACTCATCCTTGAGAGCTGTAAATTCTTGATCTCAGTGGGTAAATCTTTAATGGGCTAACTTCAAAACAAACAAACAAACAAAAAAGGCCAAAACTTCTACAAACGTCTTAGGGAAGGATGATCTGAAAAAAATGAAGCTCTATTGGGGGCTCAAGAGCATTTTTCTGTTTGTGTTATCAACTGTTAACTGCAATATTTTCTCCCACCTATTTCAGGTAACTGGTTACTGCTGTGCTTTACTAGCTCAAGACAAAACACAAAACCTTGAGCTCAATGTTTTTTCACAAAGTGAGCTGACACCTGCTGCTACTGGATCACTAAATTTTGAGTCCCAAAATATCAGTTCTGAGCGCCTCAGTGCAGCACATGCTGAGGGAGGAAGGAATTGAGCCAACGAGGAGAACTGTGTTTCTCCCCCGGGATTCCCTTCAGCCAAAGGGAGCAGCACATTATGGTGACTTCCATATGGAGCTCCATTCAGTTGTCTTTGCCTGGTCAGAGTAACATGGGTCCTTTGAAAGGTAGAAATAGCATGGAGGAGACAGCTCAAAACAAAAACAAATAAAACAATCACAGCTGTACAGTTAGACACGGGCATGCGTGTAGGACAGAGCACACGCATCAGCATCTGCTTGCAGACCGCACGGCACAGAACACACTGCACACTACTGAGACACAGGAGGTACAGTGCCTTAAAAACAAGAATTTCCACCAACATACAAATAAGGACAGCTACTACGCACATACACACTTACGTGATGGAAACTGTTGCTGTCAACAGTGATCTTTTTGTGGCACAACGTATTAACTGACATGGAATTCAGATACCACAAGTTTTAAGCTGGCTTTCATTTTTCATCGTTCTGATACCCTTAATTATACTGTAACTTTTTTTATTCATATCACAGAACCCTCTCTGCTTTTATTTTTCATCTTCATACTGAAAAAAAATTGCATTTTTTCTTTATCTTTTTTAACCTCAAAGTATCAAAAGGTATAAGCATGCATCTATCCTGCAACAAAACTGTCATAAAATGAATATTTACACAATAATATCAGACTCCCTATGCCAAATTCTAAGAGCAAAACTACAGTATTTCATTGTCTTGGTTTTGCACGCCACATAAGCCAAAAGCCTTTTTTTTTTTTTTAAATGCATTTACTTGCAAATGTGCATCTAAATTAAATTTTTAAAAGGTGTCACTTCATTACTGGCACTAAGTAATATTCCCTAAATTGCACCTTGTGCCTCTGTCAGGTTCCCTATTTTCTATGTAACCATTCCTCTGCAGAAAACTTTTACAAGCTACATCTTTAGGACAGGAAGAAAGGGGTTATATGTGCTATATTATACATGCATTACATTAGAGCAGTGGATATTACATACAGAGTTGCATTAAGTAACTCCAGGAGGTTGCGATAACTTAGGTTACCCCCAAGCACCTCTCCAAGATGTATTCCAGTTTCACGAAGCAGCACAGAAGAATCAAAACTTATTTCAGGCTGCCATAGCCACCCTTCCTCCATCCTAAATTTGCAAGTTCTGGGCTGAATTTCCCACAGACATCCTCAGCCTCATTCTGACTCAGACATGCAAAAAGACCATATTTACACTGACTTGTAACAACCCCAGCCCTGCACTACTTTGAGACAGTGCAACCAAAAGCTCTAGTTTAAACTAAGGATGGAAGGAGAGAGGGAGGGAGGGAGATGGAGAGACGGGGGTGGGAGAGAGGAGGAGGGAAGGAGGGAAAGGGAAGGAGAGGGCAAGGAGAGCCCTCTCCCCCTGGGCCTGGAGTGCAGCCTTAACACCAATCGGACAGAGGCAAGAGCGCAGACCGAACTCCACAGAGGTTCCCAGTGATGTCTGGTGGCAAGTGTAACTGCGTGATCCCAGCTTATTTACTTTGTTTTTTACTTTAATTTCCCTTTGAGCGGGACAAGAGACATTTTAATAAATAAATAAGGTTCATAGGGTATGAAGTGGCAGGAACATGGAGGTGAGGGCTCGCCCCAGCCGCTTTGTGCAGCGGCCCTCAGTCCTCCAGGAACGGGAATCCTCCAGGTGGCCTTTCCATAATGCCCAACCGAGATACTTCCATCAGTGGAAATGAGATTTGCCTTTCTCCTGTGACTGGCAGGTTCCTAACTTGAGTAACAGAAGGTCAGCTCTTAAATTTGCCCATATAACTATCCCCCTATGTGGTGGTTAATGTCCAAAACTTGTGGCATAATTTGATACCGTAAGTAATGGCTCCACTAAATACCTTCTAAGTATCACTTTTTTTTTTTTTTTTTTTTTTGCACTGGGAGAGCCAAAGAGAGAAACAAGGCACAATAAAGGTCAAAACTTAAAAAGAGGATTTGTAAATATACAATTTAGCTTTCTATCAGCTGAGGAAGAGATTCTAGTCAAGTTAAGGAACTCTTCATACTTATTCACTTGACTTTCAAAGACGGAAGTCTGACTTGCTACTGAAAGTCAAACTCATGCACACACAACTACTTAAATGCCTGATTAGCCACTGGTGCACACAAGACATGGCATTTTCCTGTGGAAGCAAATATTGAACAAAAAGTAAGAATTACTCATAATTTTAAACACAGAGTTTCTCCTTCCATTAGTCAAATTCAAGTTGTTGAAATGGATGACCAGACCTGCCACAACACTGCTTTTTCTCAATGAAGCTTTAGTGAATTCCCAAAATGAAGAATCCTAAAATGAGTGCTTCCAAACTCTAGACGAAGCACTTAAAAAATAAATAAATAAATAAATAAATAAATCATTCATGCTACAGATCTGCCAAAGCCAAGAGGGCGCTCTTCAGTATCTCATGCAAGTAACAAACGATAGGGCCAAACTTAAGTCCCCACTATAAATTTCACACACTTCACAAACTCTTGGAAGTAGCAAAGAGGTTTCGACATGATTTTTTTATGATTTCCTTTTTTTTTTTTTTTTTTAAACTAGTAGAGATGCATCAGTATGAAAGAACCCCACATAACTAAGATGACAGATTTGTACAGTTTACAGCAAAATGTTTTGATCATTGAAATGGACTAGAATCAACACATAACTCAATATGCAAGTTTTGGCCATTTAAGAACACAATAAATACTCTGAAAGACATGCAAAACACCTGAAAAAGTGGGAGATTTCTAAGACGACACTTAGAGAGAGTTGCCCCACAAAGTTTCCTGTATTTCATCAACCAGTACAAAAACATGCAACCTGGCTGTAGGGCTAAAACTAGAGTCGCTACAGTTCTAGTAAAAAGTCTTTGTAAAAAGTAGAAAGATATTGTACTAGGAGATTATATCTGCTGTCTGCTCCTTGAAGATATATATTCTGATGCAAACATTTTAATATTTATATTAGTCCATTATTTTATTTAAATTCTCTCAAATTTAAGCAGCTTTTAGTAGAAGCACTTAGAATAACTGTTGTTTTAAAGACCAATATGTTATAGTATTAAATCTTAAAAATATATAAGGGTGTAGAAACATAAACCATCTCTGGTAACAGGGCTTACAGAAATTGGTTTTTAAATTATTCCAGTTATTCAGCCTGTGCTTATACTGAGCACATTCCAGTACAAACAATAAAAAAGCAATAAAATCAGTTAAAAAATTAAAATTTGTTAAAATCAGAGTCAACAAAAGCAGAAAAACATGGGAGTTTCCACAGGGGGGGAAAATACATAAGGATACACAGTTCAGGTGGAATTTCCTGCAGTTGTTAATTACATAGGACACATTAATGTAACACAAAACATTAAATTAAACATTAGGTCAACAAAACAAAACAAAAAAATCCCCACTTTTGCCTCAGAATATGCTTGTTCTGGAGAGAAGAGAGAGAAAGGAGGCAAGGGGAGAAGAGGGAGTTAATTGTTAAGTTCCAAGTTCTGCCATCCTTTTCCCCCTATACAATAATTAAATATTAAAGTCACAGTCTATCAAATGCAAAATTTATTTCAACTGTACATAACAGATGTCCTTTGTATATAAAACAAAACACTGAATTAATATATGCAACCACAAACAATATGCATACTGTACAGTACAATGCAACATTCAGATATACATCCATTTTGTAGTTCCAAAAGGCAGTCACCTACTAAAGATGGCTTCTCCCGTTCACAAATGAAGTGCACAATAAATATCATTTTCTTCTATGTCTTACGCCACTATATACACACATTACTGTGTTTTGGCAAGGTTACGCAAAACACCCAATTAATATAGACTGGTTTCAATTTATGGCAAGTAGTAATTTTATGGAAACACTGGATAAGCCATGTGAAGAGGGGTTGACAATGGCTTGAACCTACCTTCTAATTCAGATTCTCCATCCTTCCAGTATTAACTGTACACATGTATTTTACAGAATTGCATAAACATAAGGTACTATTGTTACCAGGACTCAAGTTCCACAAAAATAGAAACACTGAACCTTTGGACTGAATACCACCATCTCCACGTTTGCATTTTTTTAAGCGTGTTGCATTAATACTGATCAGTTCACAATAGCTAATGGCCTGTAACACTGAAGATAGCAAATGATTTTAACTGTGCAGCAATGTTAATATGAAAGATCATAATTATGGTAATTATGTGACTCAAATGCTACAATAATTAATGGTGGTAAACTGTCAAAGCTTTGGTGCATAGAAAGTCAATAAAATCTTCAGATCTGGATAACAAAACATTCTGTGTGATAAGGAAAGTTCAAGTGCAGCAACTGTATTTCAAACTCATATTTACACTATATAACATATAACAGACATGAAAGAACTACCATTTATGCAATGCAGAACAGATTAGTTAACTAGAACACCACAGCTTAAGAAATGGGAAAAAAGCAATCCATACTTTTCATATAATTAAAAACAAATACTCTTGACTCAAAGGAAAAGCGAAGTGGCTTACAGATGCACTGTGGAATGGTATGCGGCACACATACTTATTTCATCTCTCTAACCAAGACTCCTCCAGTTCAAACAAAACTAAACACATGTAAGTTCCTGGTCATTAAATTAATACATGACCTTTTTCTTTTTTTTCTTTTTTTTTTTTTTCTCCTCA